AAACCACAGTGGTGGTGGGAAGTCGGTTTTTTGTCAGGTAGTTTTAAACTTCTTTTATAAATGTTTTCAATAGTTTTAAGTGTTGTTGGACAAGCAAGTGACCAGGACGTCAAACAATAGTCCATATGAGAGATGATCATTGAGTAAAAATAAGTTTTTGCAACATTCATATTTAAATTATTACGTATATGATTAAAATTTTGATTATTAAATTTAAGTACCTGGGACACTTTATTTATGTGTCCCAGGTACTTAACAGTTGTGCATATGTTAATTTTTTCTCATTTCCTTCTCCTCTCTTTTCAGATTTGTAGCCTGGAGTTTGAATTGCAGGCTGTTCAGTCAGCAGCCAATGAGAGCCAAGGGGCACTGAACGCAGCTCAGGATGAGCTGGTAACCCTGAGTGAGGAGCTCGCCCAGCTCTACCACCATGTCTGCCTGTGCAACGATGAGACGCCCAACCGTGTCATGCTGGATTACTACAGGTGTGACTGTTTTACTGCTCTTAGAGTATCCATGGAAATTCAAATAATAAATAAAACCACTCACATTATAGGTGTGTTTGTCTGTTCTATAAAAACTTCTTTAAAAAATAATATCATCTACGAGAGGCCTGGGAGCTTAAGGGTGAGGGTTTGGTGAGCATTGAGCTGTTTGCTTGCTTTCTTTTACTTGATGTCTTAGTTGAGAAAGAACAGGTTTAAAGCACCTATGACACTAAAGGTTCTGTTCCATTATCTGTTCTATTCTTCCAGACAAGGCAGGGGCCTCAGGGGCCTTAGTTCTAGTCTCAAAGCCATGTGTACAGACAACAGCAAAGTTCTTCTCACACCACGCCTAGCCAGACGGCTTGCTGCTGTTGCTTCAACAACCTCAACTCCAGGAGAGTCGCGGACGCCCTCGGAGTCTCCATCCAAAGAGCCCTTACATGGAGGGAGCCGAAGAGTGGAGAAAGAGGTCCTTCAGGTGCCATCTGAGCAGAGCCTGCCACCTAGCACACCTCCAACCCGCTCACCTAGCATCAGTGCCTCTTCATCATCATCGTCATCTTCATCGCCAGCCATGGAGCCTGCTGGTGAGCTGCGCAGGGAGCCCATGAACATCTACAACCTCAGCGCCATCATTAGAGACCAGGTACATCTGCCTGTACCTCCTGATGTGCTGCTATATTGCCAAAGGTCTTTTCTCATCCCTACAAGCATTCAGGTGTTCCAAATACTTCCATGAACATGGGTGTATAAAATCAATCACCTGGGCATGCAGACTGCTTCTACAAACATTTTTTTAAAGAAAAGGTCCTCGCTATTAAATATCCCACAGGCAGCTGTTAGTGGTACATAACAAAGTGGAGGCGATCGGGATCAACAGAAAGTCAGTCAGAAAGTGGTACGCCATATAAAATCACAGAGTGGGCTCCGCGGATGCTGAGGTGCATAGTGGCTGTGGTTTGCAACTTTCTGCCGAGTCAATCGCTGCAGACCTCCAAACTTGTAAAGATTAGCTCAAGAACAGTGTGTAGAGAGTTTCATGGGATTGGTTTCCATGGCCGAGTAGCTACATCCAAGCCTTACATCACCAAACACAATTCAAATGCTATAAAGCACGCCACCACTGGACTCTAGAGTAGTGGTGACATGGTCCAATTCATGTTCGTGTGAAGGCAGATGAGCAAATACTTTAGGCAATATAGTGTCAATCGTTGTTCCTCCTCTCTACCACCTTCTTTTCTTCCGACATAAGATGTGACACCTCCAGTGGTTTCCTTTTTTCTTATCTGCTCCCGTCTCCTCCCCAGGTGAAACACCTACAGCGGGCAGTGGACAGGTCACTGCAGCTGTCCAAACAGAGGACTGCAGCCCGGGAACTGGTTCCTCTTTTGGATAAGGATAAGGAAAGCTGCATGGAGGAGATCCTGAAGCTCAAATCTTTACTCAGCACCAAGAGAGAGCAGATAGCCACTCTTCGACTGGTGCTCAAGGCTAACAAACAGGTGAGTATGGAAACGTGATGGTTAAGTTATTATAGGCAACAATATTTCAATAATTTTCCATTGCTGACATTTCCCTATGTGTATTTAACAAAAAAGTAAAACCCCTCAGAGTTTTAAGCACCAACCCAACAAGTAGTGACATAAGCATGTAAATAAATGGTAAACGGACTGATTCTTATATAGTGCTTTTCGACTCTCTCATAGACAGTGAAAAAGAAAAGAACTGTTGGTTTGAATGGACGGAGCAGTTTGGTTTTTATGCTTAAGTGCTTTCTTTCTAACAGTCACAGATGCCAACTTCCCTTCTTCCTAAAAACTGGTTCTTGGACTTCCTCACATGTTGGCCATGTACATCTCACATTTGCTTTCTTCCTCTCCGTTATGCATATGAAACATATAAATGATATTTGCAAACAACTGATTACTGCTGTCCACTGCTAAATATTCTAGACAAATAGTCAAGGAAAGTCATTCTGAATCGGTATACATAATATACAATAAAACCCCTGTTATACGAGTACCTACTTGGATCAAGGTCATATTACCTGATACCAGGTACCTGCTCAGCTGGAGTTCCAAGCGATTTGAGCAGGTACTAAAATGTGACTTCATGTCAATTGGCTGTCAGATAAGTGTCCATAAGAGGGTCCTGGAAACCCTATTGATCCTCTACCTAATCACACGAGCCAAGGTGTGAAAACGGGTGTGAATCACAATCAGCTAAGGTTTTGGATGAACCCATTGTGAAACCTAGCCCCACCCTATCATGTGATTTACTGAGGTCAAATGACCCAGGATGTGAGTGGGCGTTAAGGCGTCAGGGAAGGATCTCAAAACTGGATCATAGGTGGCAGACAGTTGGTGTCATAAGCCACCTCCTCTGTTCAAAGATGGTCGCTCACAGTGGACATAGATGGCTTCTTTTACTCCTCTTTCAAAACATCTGTCCTCTGTCCAAATTGTAAGCATTGGCATCCTCAAAGAGTGACCTTTGAGCTTTAGATGCAGATGGACAGCCAAGTCTTGTCCTATGGAGGTGGCTCTTCTATGTTGTGCCATGTGTTTATGAAGTGGCTGTTTGGTTTCTCCAATGTAGAGGTCTGAGCATTCCTCACTACACTGTACAGCATACACTACATTGTTAAACTTGTCATTGGGATGAACCAGTTTTTGTCTGACTGTGTGGCTGGTCTGAAGTACACTTGGATGTCGTGCTTTGAGAAGACTCTCCGGAGTTTCTCTGACAAACCTGCTACATAAGGGTTGACAGCATTGTTCCATTTGCCCTTCTGATTCTCCCTAGACAGAGGAACCTCTTAGGGACACTCCCAATAGGGCTTGAAAATCTGGAACTCTCCACCAATTGCTTTTAGAACCGAAGAAGCCTCTCGGATGAGAGGTGAAACGTCTTCAAGAAACTTAAAGTCCAGATGCTTTTCTTTCCAAGCTTTTTAGACTACGATGAACCTTCACAGACACTTCACAGTAATTCAAAACCAGTTTATCCAAGTAGGTACTAATGGAAAAGGGGCTGAATATACAGTCACTAATATGTCTGTGTGTTTAACTAGACAGCAGAAGTGGCTCTGGCCAACCTGAAGAGTAAGTATGAGGCGGAGAAGTCCATGGTGACCGACACCATGACAAAGCTGAGGAACGAATTAAAGGCCCTGAAGGAAGACGCCGCCACGTTCTCCTCTCTGCGAGCCATGTTTGCTACCAGGTCAGAGAACAAAACAGAACATACTGAAGCACAAACATTTCCAGAAACTCTTTGAGAATCCATGTGTTGGGTTAGTGCAGGGGTGTCGAACTCCAGGCCTCGAGGGCCGGTGTCCTGCAGGCTTTAGATGTGTTCTTGATCCAACACAGCTGATTTAAATGGCTAAACGACCTCCTCGACATGTCTTGTAGTTCTCCAGAGGCCTGGTAATGAACTAATCATTTGATTCAGGTGTGTTGACCCAGGGTGAGATCTAAAACCTGCAGGACACCGGCCCTCGAGTCCTGGAGTTCGACATCTGTGGGTTAGTGTGTCAGAGAAAGCCTCTAAAGAATTTAACCAGGATGAAATAAGAAGTCCAGTCATTTCTCTTTCCAAGCTCCTTAGGATTACCATGATCTGGATGACCGAGCACCCACACAGACAACCAGGATGTAATGTACATCACAGCCCAGCTCTATTTCTAAAGGCAAACTGTCCAAAAACTCAGCTTTGTGTTTCCTCTCAGTCAACAGACTTTGTCATCTTAAAGAATAGGTTGATATTTCATGCATTTACATTTTCCTCATTTTACTTGTTTCAGTCTTTACAAATGTTCCACACAGCACCCAGCTGCTTTTATCTGGAGCTTATTAACTAGCATCACGTATCTTTTTCACCATACTCAAACTAACTAACTTATACATTCCACCAGGTAATGTGTAGCTATCCAATTAGAGTGCAAACATCATCTGTCTTTCTTTGCACATTTTACATTTTAGTTCATTTTCTACACTACTCAAATGTCTGCTTTGTGCAGGTGTGATGAGTATGTGACCCAGCTGGATGAGATGCAGAGGCAGCTGGCTGCAGCCGAGGATGAGAAGAAGACTCTGAACTCTCTCCTGCGGATGGCCATTCAGCAGAAACTGGCCCTCACCCAGCGTTTGGAGGACTTGGCCTTTGATCAGGAGCAGTCCCATCGCACCCGGGGGAGCAGGTTGACCCGTGGAAAAACCAGCACCCCCAAAGTAAGTCCCTCGACTTTGACTACAGCCTCCAATCCTGCTCAAGGGTCCAGTCCAGCCCCTGGCAGCCTCCCTTCTATCAGCCCCACACCAGCTCTTCGCAATGATCCCTCTGACCACCTTAGCCCAGCCACTGCGGCTCTGGCCTCAGCTACCACCTCCCCCACCTCGCACGCATCCTCTCACAGTCTGTCATTACCATCGGTTGCCTCGCTGAGTGTCCCTCCAATGCCAGGGAGCCCCCCTTCTCTGGAGGCCCCCTCGCCTCCTTCAGCACAGACCCCACCCTCAACCCCTCTGAGGGTTTCTCACTCCCAGTGGACGGTGGGGGTGAGAACGTTTGTGGTCGACTCCCCCAGTTTCAGCGCGAACATCTCCCCTGCTCCCGCTCGCCCCTCAGGCCTATCCAGGCACTGCACTCCACACACTCACACCCCTCCTCTCTCCCCCACTACCAGGCCCACCCAGCCAGGATCTGCTCCCTCCTCTCCCTATCGGTCCCCTGGTCTGGGTCTCAGACGGTCCACGTGGAGCCCCTCACCTCGAACTCGTCCCCTGCCCAGCATGACACGCTCATCCGTCCTTTACACTCCCTCCTCATCCTCCCCTTACTCCTTCCCTTACTCCCCATCTTCTTCCCACAGCTATTCATCTGCCTATTACAGCTCCCCTTCTGCTTTTACCCCCTCTAGCTCCTACCTCACCTCTGGCAGCTCCACTTCCTACAGCCATTCCTCACACTACACGCCCCTCTACCCCAGATTCTACAGCTCCTACAGGCCCCGGGAATGACGCTGTACTGCAAGTCTGTCAAAGGCTACTGCACTGAGCTCCCCGTTTCTAACAAACTGCAGCCCCCATAACGCTTCTCTTTTATCACCTAAGAGGGGGCTCACAGAAAGGAGGACAGACTGGTTTCCCGTTTCCTGTGCCTAAGCCGTGGCCAGTGGGTTCTGAATGTTCAGTGACTTTGCTCAGGGATTATATGGAGCACAAACGTCCCCGCCTTCTTTTATTCTGAGACTGCTGACTGGTTCACAGGAGGACATTAACGAAGACTTTCCAAAGTTTTTAGCATTTAGATGAATCAGGTTGACTACACATTGACTGGACACTTACATGTTTAGATGGGGCTCATGACACATGAAACACTGTACTCTGTATTCAGTTTAATACTCACATTGATTGGTAGTCTGTCTCATATCCTCTAAACCGACACATTTTTGACACAGAGGAAGCAGTGACCACGGTGAAAATCCTCATGGCACAGATAATGATGCATAGCTTGGGCACTCAGTTACTCTCGTGGAGCCCACAGGTTGTGTGGACAATTGTCTACAGCTGCTCGTTTTCATTTCCTTCCCTCGCTGCAGGCCAGTGTACATTCTTGGGACACTCCTCCCGTTGTGGTCTTCTTTGTCCAGGGTGTTGCCATGATAAAGCTCATCCCTCAGTATTTTTTGTTCATCTCTAGCAACACCCAGTGTTCTTTTTTTATATATAGCCATACACTCAGCTATGCATGTTCACTGTCCCTCCGCTTGCCTTTGAAAGGTCTGTGTAATTGCAGTTGAAGGCTGTTTGGAAGGTTTGGGATGGAGAAAATCTTCTAAGATGAACAGGAAGCTGGGATGAGGGACCTTAAACTGTATGATCACCGTATGATCAGTTGATACTATAGTATACCAACCGTACCATCTCATCTCATGTGTTCTTGTAGCCAACACACAGTTTTCTGGTTAAGTTTTTTTCCCCAAAGATTAGAGTTTTCGTTAAAAGGAAGAAAAAGTTTAATAATTTTATTAGTTGAAGACGCCACACATTTCTGATTTTTCTTTTCTGCTCAGTACTCAAGGCTGCGTCAGGCTCTCCAACTTATCAAATTTCAGATTTGCCTGAAACGATTCAAAGGGAAAGAAACACTTCTGTGTGTTTCTTTTTGTCCATTTTTGGTCATTTTAGTAAAAGTCATCACATTTTATGGCAAAAGAACGAAATGAAGGATGTTTTTCCTGCTGTGAAATGTCAAAACTGCTCAAATTTGACCTGAACAGTATGTGAGGGTTAAACAATATGAATTATGTGCCTTGTATACGAGAAATGTACAGAATACAGCAGCCCCCACCTTCAACACTGTGCTCTCTACAGGCCTCTAAATCTGATAGCAGAGACTGGACATCCAAATATTTTAGATTTTTCAAGGATCCATCATTCCAAGACCAATTTATAGTCTTTACCAGATATTTACCCTAAAAATGAATAACCTAGCTTAAGTTAATCAGTGTTCATTCCTTTAAGGATTTTTTTGAGGAAATCCTTTTCTCTGCATATTCTTTTTAAGAAGCGCTGACCCATGAACATAATCACAGAACACACTGCATGTATGGCATGGATATATAGGGAAGAGCACATTAGCTATTAACACATTAGTTAGTAGATCACTGTTGTTTTCTTGGAAAGCTACCATATCCTCCAGAACCATCATTTAATTCTTTCATGTATTTATTTTCCCTAAAATCACTTTTTCTGTAATATGCTGTCATAGACACTGAGAGGAAGTGATTAAGCATTACTCTGACTCACTCCTGTCATGGTAGACTTGGTTATAATGGCATGCCAACAGTGTAGCATCTGTAAAAGAATGAATGATTTCAGCATAGCTGAGGGCTCACCTCACCAAAGTTAGTGAACCTGACATATGTTATTCAGCCTGGCACGAGTCATCCTGGATGACCTGTAGCATCATGGTGTGGTTTGAACTGGGAGAAGAGACTGGCTAAACTGAGTGAGTGAGTGAACTTAAAGGAAGAGTGAAAAGAAATACGCTTGTTAATCAAGGTTGATATCTGTTTTGAAACTGGCCTCTTGTGTAACCACTTCTTGATTGACAGATGATGTGAAGCTTCTTGTGATGTGAGTCTACTGACAGTTATTTTGAAAGATGCTTGATGGGCCTTAAAAATTCTGTTACACCTGATATCTCAGCAGGAACCAGCTGCACGGTACTTACAGTTTAGCCTGCTCTGGCAGATTGCCTTCACCTGGACACAAACAGATAATGTGCTTCCTTTTACTTGTTACTCCTCCTGTACCTCAGGCTAAAATGCTGTTCTTTATGTATTTGTCTTTGGCTTGGATTACTTTTAGTCATAATACTTTTTTTTGGTCTGGATACTGTTCGTGAAAAAAATCTGGAGCCAAAATGATCAACTTTGTGTGGCCTGTCACTTGCTTTTTAGATTTAATTGATACTAAAAACAGTCAGAAACATAAATAAATAAATAAACGATTTGTTTGTTGCAGTGCCATTCATTGACAAAGCGCAGAGCCAAATAAACCAAGGAGCACCCCTGGGGTGTCAGGCCTTCAGCGCACGCACCAGCAGTCGCCTTCTTTGGAGTGAGGATGTCTGAGTCCTCGTGTCTTTGTTACTTAACCATAATGTACAACAAAATGTGTCGTGCACTAGCATACACACTGAGTATTCACACGCTCGTTAGACTGACTCAGTCACAGCTTGGCCTTCTACAGACACCTGCCCTCAGCATTGTTAGTCTCTTCTGCCCATTGACTGTATGACGGCCTCCCTGTAAGGCCAGTTTACTGTGCTGGGTTTAGCATACAGGGCTTACAAAATAGAGACACAGCTTCCTGAGGTCAGTTCTTCAGGCACAGAGGTCACTCACTAAGGCACACAATAACAGTAATGTTTCCACACTGGTTACATGTAGCAGATTAAGAGAACGTCAAATCTTATCCACTGCGGTCCTTTCATTTCAAACACATTCACATTGTCCTGATCTAGAACAGTCATACTGCATTTCCTTCTCCACAAGCGTTCAGTTAGTTCATTACAGAAGTCATTTAATACATAAATATGTTTAGCTACTGTAAGCTGGGAAAAAGCAGACAAAAAATATGATTTCTTACTCGTGTTTGTAGGGCTGTGTGCCAAATCATGCTCCAGGAGACAACTGTGTAGAAGATCACAGCAGAACAATACTTGTACTGTTTTGTAGTCATGATGAATACTACAATTTGATTTCAGTGCAGAAGTGAACTAAGTGAAGGCTACAGGAAACAGGGAAAGCCAACAGTATTGTCAGCAACACTGCAGGTTTATCACTCAGAGACATATTTACCGCGTCGACTGTGGTACACGTCCTCTCTTTTTATGCAACATCCTCCGGTGATTATTAAACACGCAGGACTGCCTTTCAAGTGATTATTTTCAAATGGGTTTGATGTTTGAAGGCTCGCAGTGACAAAGTAACTCGACCCAAATCCGTTAAAGCAAACATAACGTTTTCTGTTTAGAAAATGTAAGAAGTAGAAAGTACAGATATTTGTTTAAAAACGTAGGGAGTAAAAGTAAAAAGTAGTCGAAAATGAAACGACTCGAGTAAAGAACAGATACCTGAAAATTGTACTTAAATACAGTAACAAAATATTTGTACTTTGTTACTTCCCACCCAGAAAGACAAGTTACAGTGATGGGCAGCATGGCTGTCTGCGGTCACAAAATCGGTCTTGGCATTTGCAGTCCAGATGATTCCTCAAAGACATATATATTTCAGCACTTTCTCAAAGAAAGTGCTCATAGATATCTATCTATCTATCTATAGATATCGATATCTATAGATAGATAGATATCGATAGATATCTATACACACACACAGTTTTGAAACAGTTATTCTTGTTAATCACGTTGTTACAGTTGTTGTTTTGTTAGTTCTTAGCTGCACTGCACACATGTAGCAAAAAGCTACACTTTGACCATTAGCCACTACTAATAGCTAAAGTAGCCGTTCACTTTACTTGAATCCTTTACTTGCTCCCTTTCTGATTACTTTCTTCATCTATTTTCTCTCCTTGTTAATTTCACCTCTCGCTTTCTCATCCTCACAGTGGCCTTTCAATTATGCCAGACTACCAGTCCAGTCCTATTCATGCCAGTTTTTTGTTTATATTTTTTTTTACAGTTGTTTCTCAAAAATCCTCCAATTTTGATTTTGAAGTAAGTTCTGAGCTTTCTTTTCCCCCAAAACGGGTCCTTGTCAGGAGTTGATATTTTATAAATGTTCAGGAACTTCACAATAAGTAGTCCAATTTTCTGTTCAGTTTTTTACAGAGGAAATTTAAGACATTCATACTTGTGAATTATTAGAACCCTGATTTAGTCAATTAGTCTTTCTGGATGTTGTGGAAATCCAACTTAGATTATTTGCTGGAGGGATTTTTACCCTTCTTGAAAGAAATCCGATGAATAATTGGTGGAAATGGTTGGTTGTTGTCATGTTTCCCTAAAAGGTCCAGGGGATGTGGAAAAGCAACAAAATGTGGTTTAAAAAAAGAAGATGTGAAGGCAACATGGTTAGATTAAATATTCTTATTAATCTGTTCTAACTAATCAAGCTTAAAGAGACAAGTCGCCATCGCCTTTAGAAGAATGGAAACACAACAAAGCTCTGTAGTCGGTGACTAAATATAAAAGTAAGTCAAAAAGTGCTACCAGAACAGGATTAAACAGCTACCACACACAGGTCCCTGGCTGCAAACCAACAAGACTCTCTGGCACTAGAGCGCCCTTTCTCCAGCCTTGAAATCTCCGCCTTAATTGCTTAGTAAAGTTGGCTGTGGAAAGGACAACACCTAAGGCAGGAGAAATCAAAATCCCTACAGACCCTACTAGGGTCATAACAGGTGGTATAAATGGAGGTCTCTCTGAAACCTGTGGGAGTCCCTCTTACCATGAAGTGTCTTCAAAGTGCTCAATTTGTAAGATGGCTACATTAACCATTGGTGGATTTGTGGCCTGAGATGAATAATTAGTTGTATCTGGACATTTGGCTTCTCCAGACAGTGTATAACAGAGAGCCACATAGTTTAGATGTCCAGACAAGAAAGATTCAAGGAAAGCTTGAACATTAAAAAAATGAGTATAGATAAATATTTAAAGGGATAACATTTACCTTAAATGCTTACATGCTGGTCATATGAAATACCTAGAGCCTTTTAACACCACAGGAGTTTATGAAAAGGGCAGCAATTATATATATATGCACATATTTATTTTATTCAATGCAACTGTAACTTTTTTCCCCTCTTATGAACACACAGCAAAGTAGTTTTGGTGTTCTGATCAACTGGTAGCTATAAACACGAAGTATAAAAATAATCATCCAATAGGGAGGAAACAGTTTTTTTTTACTTCAGTTATTAGCACACCCTGAAGCACTTTTATCAAACTTTAATGTCAGTTTACTTGTTCACCGTGGCTCATAATCACAGCATTTCATGTAGCATAGCCACATAAATTTAACAGATTATGTAACGGTAACGATTTTGGTGTGGGATCATGTAGCACCTGTCAATTTATGTGATCATGTGGAGAGAAATGATTTGGCGTTGTTGAAGGCCATACTGAATCCCCGGGGTTAAGTGGTTTCTGTTTTTGCCCCTCTTGTCCTTTATGGAACATGCTGTTGAGGTCACCTCCTTGGCTTACTATCAATATACTTAGCAATGTACCATCACGAGCAGGAACAGAAAAATTCACACCAGGGTTTGTGGAAATGTAAAGTTTTAAGATGAGTTTCACTTTAGCTTTCATGGAACTAAGTGGCTGCTATGTTTCTACTGTTCTTAAATGCATCCATAGACCCACCAAGAATGATTCAATTTAATTAAGGGAATAAAGTCCACTTATTATGTATTCAGTTCTAGACTAATTTTGTATCTTTTGTAGTTTCCATCACTTTGTATGAGTTTTACTTTGGTCAGAGGCAGG